TTGACAGGTTAGTTCCAGGCTAGCACTGCAAAATGGAAATCGACTAAAAATGAACACCTTTTTTTTTTTTTTTCAAATGCATTCAATGCCTCGTAACATGTTACACTATCTATATTAGGGTTTGGGATTAGAACTTTGCATAAAAAAAATAAAAAGCCCCTACAGTACAATCATTACTTACCCTTAAAATATTTGTTTTCTTTAAAGTAGGGAAAAGGGTTTTTTAGTATTTATTGTGGAACAGGGGTGGTAACTCGCCCAGCACCACACCGCAAATTAAATGTATTAATTGAGCAGTTTGGGGGATGCAATTTTTCTCATGTGAGATGTGACAGATATTAAAATTTAAGACAAAATTTATCCTTTTTGGAGTCTTTAATAAAAAGATCTGATACAAAATTATAATGGTACTATATTTACTGTATGTTGCATTCTATGTTTAGTCTGTGGTTACAAAACTAAAAAAAATACAAATAAATGAAACCCTCCCTCCCCAAAAAAAAAATAGCATTTTTAAATTTTTATTTTCACCTTTGTGGTTTCTTAATCTTGAAACTGTTTTCCAAGCATCACAGTTTGGTGATCGGCAGAAAGATCTTAAATCGTCTAAAGCTTTTCGAGTTTCTATGGTGCCTTGTGGATATATTCTTCTTCTGTTAAACCTTGTCACTTTTGGAGGAAACCGTCGACGCCTAAAATTAAATTTCCACAAAAAAATATTACTTCCAGCACAGTTAAAACAGAAAGCTGATAAGCCAACAAATTTTATTTTTTTATTTTATTATCACACCGGCCGATTCCCACCAAGGCAGGGTGGCCCGAAAAAGAAAAACTTTCACCATCATTCACTCCATCACTGTCTTGCCAGAAGGGTGCTTTACACTACAGTTTTTAAACTGCAACATTAACACCCCTCCTTCAGAGTGCAGGCACTGTACTTCCCATCTCCAGGACTCAAGTCCGGCCTGCCGGTTTCCCTGAATCCCTTCATAAATGTTACTTTGCTCACACTCCAACAGCACGTCAAGTATTAAAAACCATTTGTCTCCATTCACTCCTATCAAACACGCTCACGCATGCCTGCTGGAAGTCCAAGCCCCTCGCACACAAAACCTCCTTTACCCCCTCCCTCAACCCTTCCTAGGCCGACCCCTACCCCGCTTCCTTCCACTACAGACTGATACACTCTTGAAGTCATTCTGTTTCGCTCCATTCTCTCTACATGTCCGAACCACCTCAACAACCCTTCCTCAGCCTTGGACAACAGTTTTGGTAATCCCGCACCTCCTCCTAACTTCCAAACTACGAATTCTCTGCATTATATTCACACCACACATTGCCCTCAGACATGACATCTCCACTGCCTCCAGCCTTTCTCTCGCTGCAACATTCATCACCCACGCTTCACACCATATAAGAGGTTGGTAAAACTATACTCTCATACATTCCCCTCTTTGCTCCAAGGACAAAGTTCTTTGTCTCCACAGACTCCTAAGTGCACCACTCACTCTTTTTCCCTCATCAATTCTATGATTCACCTCATCTTTCATAGACCCATCCGCTGACACGTCCACTCCCAAATATCTGAATACGTTCACCTCCTCCATACTCTCTCCTCCAATCTGATATTCAATCTTCATCACCTAATCTTTTTGTTATCCTCATAACCTTACTCTTTCCTGTATTCACCTTTAATTTTCTTCTTTTGCACACCCTACAAATTCATCCACCAATCTCTGCAACTTCTCTTCAGAATCTCCCAAGAGCACAGTGTCATCGGCAAAGAGCAGCTGTGACAACTCCCACTTTGTGTGTGATTCTTTATCTTTTAACTCCACGCCTCTTGCCAAGACCCTCGCATTTACTTCTCTTACAACCCCATCTATAAATATATTAAACAACCACGGTGACATCACACATCCTTGTCTAAGGCCTACTTTTACTGGGAAAAAATTCCCTCTTTCCTACATACTCTAACTTGAGCCTCACTATCCTCGTAAAAACTCTTCACTGCTTTCAGTAACCTACCTCCTACACCATACACTTGCAACATCTGCCACATTGCCCCCTATCCACCCTGTCATACGCCTTTTCCAATCCATGAATGCCACAAAGACCTCTTTAGCCTTATCTAAATACTGTTCACTTATATGTTTCACTGTAAACACCTGGTCCACACACCCCCTACCTTTCCTAAGCCTCCTTGTTCATCTGCTATCCTATTCTCGTCTTACTCTTAATTCTTTCAATTATAACTCTACCATACACTTTACCGGTACACTCAGCAGACTTATCCCCCTATAATTTTTGCACTCTCTTTTATCCCCTTTGCCTTTATACAAAGGAACTATGCATGCTCTCTGCCAATCCCTAGGTACCTTACCTCTTCCATACATTTATTAAATAATTTGCACCAACCACTCCAAAACTATATCCCCACCTGCTTTTAAATTTCTATCTTTATCCCATCAATCCCGGCTGCCTTACCCCCTTTCATTTTACCTACTGCCTCACGAACTTCCCCACACTCACAAACTGGCTCTTCCTCACTCCTACAAGATGTTATTCCTCCTTGCCCTATACACGAAATCACAGCTTCCCTTCTTCATCAACATTTAACAATTCTCAAATATTCCTTCCATCTTCCCATTACCTTACTCTCCATTTAATAACTCTCCTCTCCTATTTTTAACTGACAAATCCATTTGTTCTCTAGGCTTTCTTAACTTGTTAATCTCACTCCAAAACTTTTTTTATTTCAACAAAATTTGTTGATAACATCTCACCCACTCTCTCATTTGCTCTCTTTTTACATTGCTTCACCACTCTCTTAACTTCTCTCTTTTTCTCCATATACTCTTCCCTCCTTGCATCACTTCTACTTTGTAAAAACTTCTCATATGCTAACTTTTTCTCCCTTACTACTCTCTTTACATCATCATTCCACCAATCGCTCCTCTTCCCTCCTGCACCCACTTTCCTGTAACCACAAACTTCTGCTGAACACTCTAACACTACATTTTTAAACCTACCCCATACCTCTTCGACCCCATTGCCTATGCTCTCATTAGCCAACAAATATCATTATTAATTATATAATGTACACTGAAATACATTAATATCATACCACATATATGTATAATGATTGCCTTGCTTAGATTTTGTCTTTAATAAGAAATAGTTCACTTCAATTCTCAAAAATTATACTACATGCCCATTATTAATTAATCCCCTTAGAATTCTATGTTGACTTTCAGAAGATATTTTACAGTAGACAAAAAAAGAAAATTGTAAACAATATTCTGTACACTAGACTACAAAAAGAAATTTTGCTGATCTAAAACAGCATTTCTACAAAGAATCTAAAACTAATACATCTTGGAGAATGGGTGTTGGGATTTTTTTTAACACTGGCCATCTCCCACCAAGGTAGGGTGACTGAACAAAGAAAACACTTACTCTCACTCATTCAATCACTATTACCAGTAGGACATTGACATCACAGATAAGATGACCTCTGAACTACAACATCCTGACCCCTCCAGAGTGCAGGCTTTAAAATTATGACAGCAAGTACAATATTACTTTTGTTTTGACTACAGTATTTGAAGTTATCATGTTAATCATTACTGTACTAAAGATGAAAAAAACAGAAATTATGCAGGTGAATTTCATACTCACCAATATGTATGGAACTTGGATTTCCACTTATCAGGAATATTGTAATAAGATACCATTACAATGATGAGTCCCAGAGTAGCTTCGCGATACTGACTACTTAGAAATATTGCTAGTACGGCCATCAGTTGCATAGCCCACTGAACTAAGTTGATTGAGCGCTTGTCTGTTAGTGGTCCATACCGATAAACCATAGCAAAACTGAGGAGTCCTGCGACTACTACATAACCTGAATTAAAAGTTCATATTAAATATGTATAAATAATATGAAATACACCTACCATCCGACTTACGACCTGCTCGACTTACGACCACTCGGCTTACGACCGTGTTTTTTTTGCCAAATTTCTGGGAAATAAACAACTATTTGTGTTGTACACAGTGTTTATCCTAAACCTTACAGTATAAAATACAGTACTAACAGCATAAAAAGTAAAGTAAAACATGAAATACCAAAATAAAACAATAAAATAAAGTCATTACAAAAATGTGATGTTGATATTCAGTAGTAAAGTTCGACTTACGTCCATTTCGACTTACAACAAGTTTCTCGGAACCGAACTCGGTCGTAAGTCGGATGGTAGGTGTATTGTAGAGTAAGTTTAGTTATACAGAATGTTCATGATTCTCTCACTTAAGTTACAGTTTGTCCTGTGATCTGTTCATTACTGTATTGAAGAAGAAAAGCGTGAAATTCTCTCCAAATTGTGAACTGTTCCTTATTCCCATATCTTTGTTCTTACAATTACAGCATTACAAGGTTTTAAATACTCCTCGTTTGTAATATCTGGCAAGTGTGAAATGTCAGCTACACAGAGATGCAAAGGGAAATGTGAACTAACATTACACTGGTCATAAATATACTAGTAAAAAAGGTGATTTAGATGTGTCAATTCATTTTTTTTTTTTTTCAACAAGTCGGCCGTCTCCCACCGAGGCAGGGTGACCCAAAAAAGAAAGAAAATCCCCAAAAAGAAGATACTTTCATCATCATTCAACACTTTCATCACACTCGCACATTATCACTGTTTTTGCAGAGATGCTCAGAATACACAGTTTAGAAGCATACACATATAAAGATACACAACATATCCCTCCAAACTGCCAATATCCCAAACCCCTCCTTTAAAGTGCAGGCATTGTACTTCCCATTTCCAGGACTCAAGTCCGACTATATACATATATTAATTGATAGATTATAATACCAAATCTATGTATACAATGTATGAAGATATAAGGCCAGAAAACCACTTAAATGCATTATACTTACCAACAGCAACAGCATGATTTTCCTTCACAATTGACACAAAATTTTGCCACAGGTACGGGATGAGGTAGACAGTCAAGCCCAGCCACCAATCATCAATGTTAATGCCCAGATTTCTGTAATTGCAATAAATGTATTAATATTTCATGGAAATGTATTCCAGTACTAAAAGCCCATCTAATAATACAATATAGAGTACTTTTCTGATCCCAAATGTACAGTATTATATACTAATTAAAAATACAAACTTCATTAGTTCCTCATTCACAATAACATTAAAAAAATTATTATATTTTTAACACACTGGCCGTCACCTACCGAGGCAGGGGGACCCAAAACAGAAGAAACACTTTCACCATCACTGTCTTGCAAGAGGTGTGCTGATACACAGTTAACATGCCCCTGAACTGCAAATATTCCCACCCTTCTTCAGTATGCACTGTATTTTCCACCTCCATGATGGGTTCAGGCTAACTGGTTTCCTGAATCCCTTCATAATTGTTACTTTCCTCACTCCAACAGCAGGTAGTCATAAAAACCACTTGCTTCCACTCCTATCTAACATGCTCCACACACCTGCCAGATGTTCAAAAGTCCATCACATACAAAACCCTTTCCCTTTACCCCCTCCCTCCAACCTTTCCTTGGGTGACCCCTACCCTGCCCTTTTGTCCATTAAAAGATTTATATACCCTCCAAGTCATCTATTTTGCTCCATCCTCTCTTATGTCCAAACCATCTCAGCAACCCCCCCCTCAAACTCTCTGAATAATACTTTTATTACCCCACACCTACTATTAATCTCTAAAACTATGAATTCTCTGCATAATATTTGTTAGACACAACATCACTGCATCCAGCCTCCCCCTCACTGCAACAGTCACAACTCACACTTCACACCCTTATTATTATTATTATATTAAAAGTGCTAAATACATATGGGTCATAAATCAAAATGACTTGTATAATTTAAATTACAAAACAGTAGTGAGCAGGTGTCCCTTACCTCAACCCAAAATTTTAATATTTAAGATATAAATAATAGTAGTGGTTTTAAATACACAGGACTTTTTTTTTCACCCTTTCAAAGGAATATGGCAAAATTTTATTTCATTATCATTTATGGGGAAGAACTAAAACCACAAAGGGTGATACAGTGTCTGGAAAATGGGAGGTAATTTAATTTCAATCTAAGGCCATTAACAGAAACCTACCAACCTTCGGAACAAGTTTGCAACAATATATACAATAATCAGAAGAGATCCCAAAACTCCTATAGTAATTCCGTAGTGTAGTGGAAGAAGACATTTTTTGCAAGATGCGAGCAGTGAAGAAAGTACAACAGCAGTGATGAGTGTCACACACGCCAGAAGTCAACCCCTGTAAGCAAATAGTTTAAAAAACAAGCTAAAATAATCAAATTCAGCCAATTTTAATAATAATACAATTCTGCTCTTCATTATAGGAAGGCAGATTACTTTCACCTGCTAGTGATCACAAACACACTTTTCCACTTACCACATACCAGTACTAATACATTTTTAAACCAAAGATGGAATTACCCATTGTTACTTCATTATTTCACTCACTCTGTCTCTACTACTCCTGTTGTCACTCTTCTAGACACAAACATCTCTATGACATTCCCCGTGTCCGACTAAACCTTTACAAAATTCAATGTATGTCAAAGGCCCTAAAATCTGGAACACTCTACCTGAAAACTCTAGAACTGCAGACACATTCATCATCTTCAAAACTACCATTAGAAAACATCTTATCTCCCTGATACACCCTGTCAACTATTACACAAATACACCTGGTGGTTCACACTTACACTCACTCACCATTTGACCATAAACAGAAATATCAATCTTAATCTTAAAATAATGCTTAATTAGTCATAAGTTGGCCTGTGATACTCCAATACTGAAACTATGTACTGTGCCAAAACAAATGCATTCACATTGCTAAACTCACAAACTAGTATTTAGTCACTTAGCCATAATATCAACTTGCCTCATAATTTGTAATATTTTAAACTTAAGATTTAAACTAAGTCTGCCCGAAATGCCATAGCCATGCTAGGTGTTCTAGTGGTACACTCTGTAATTATTATTTTACCACATGTAAACCACACAATAACCAAATTCTGTAAACTCAGCATTGTATCCTTATAGAGATAAACTTTTGAATTTGAATCATTATATTATGGTGTAGCACTAAACCCAGATTATTATTATTATAATCAAGGGGGAAGCGCTAAACCCGGAGGATTATACAGCGCTGGGGGGGGGATGTGGAAGGCATTCAGGCTTAATTTGGGGAACTGGAGCACAGATCCAATTCCCTAAATCAAGAGCCCCTCACCAACATACTAAACCCAGAGGACTCTTGATTCAATTCTTGAATTAGGAACCCATTACAAGAATCATAGGAAGAAGACTAGAGGATGCTTCAAGACTGACACTGTATTTTACATTTCTCATAACAGAATTCATATGCATGTATATATGTATGCTGAATATACCCTGTACACAGCTGTAGATAACTTTGCATAGGTTGAGCTGCAGCTCCGAGACTTGCCTCAAACTATTTTTTTTTCCCACGTTATGCTCTTCAGTGTGCTACTCTCAGGGAGGGAGGAATTGGGAACGATGGGGAAGGGGGGATGAAGGAAGTGAAAGGGAAGGGGAGGGAGGTTGAAGACGGGGAAGATGAGAGGGGAATGAGGGTAGGTTAGATAAGGTTCATTCAGGAAACAGAACAAGTGTTTCCTTCTCAGTAGTAGTACTAGTACCAGTTCCTAGTAACCAGTGTACCAGTAGATGGCTCGCTACCAACCGTCTCTGCGTGAATCACTGTCTGTATTCATATTGCTGACCACAGCAGTATTTCAAACACCCCCCTCACATATGGGTACTGGGGTTAGTCAGTCTTACGAGTGAGAGCAAGGAGGCAGGTCACGGCTGTTTGGCGCTTCCCACACTATTCATAATTATACGTACTACCAGCCTACGTGAGTATTTCTTTACCCTATCCATGTGTTCGAACCCCACATGATAAATGGTGGCAACGGTGTGGGAGCGTGGATTTAAGCTTTTTTAAGGGTATTTCAAGACGTTAGAAGACTGTTTGTGAGTAGCCGGCGGGTCAAAAGGTGAGCCGTCTCACCCATCTCCAGCTACTCGCTCCCCTCACAACCTCCACCCTGTAGCCCGCAAGCCTGTTGCAGCCGTTTCAAGCTTCCTGGTTTAGTTCGTGTGCTAATTGCTTCAATCTCCGAGGGGTTGACCCGGATTTTGCAATTAAGCCAGTCAGTAAGCCAGACTGTGGAAGTGAACGCTAGTCAGCCTGCCTCAGCCTACCATCCAGCCTGTCTCCTGTCATCCACCTGCTCCTTCATGCTGTGTGCATCGTTACCCGTCTTCCAGTCAGCCATTCTCGTGGTTTAAGCCAGTCAGCCAACCCAGTCAAAACCCAGCTGAGAGAGGGGAAGTAACCCAAAGCAAGTTTCTGAAGAAATTTTTCTCATATACGTTTTGGTGCCCCCCTGTTGGATGCAAAGAGTGAATTTCACCTTTCCCTTTGGGGCTTTAGAGGGCTTATAAAGCCCCCTTTCGGGGGAAAGGGGTGGAGTGCCGCCAGTGAGGCCAGCGAGAGTCACTCCCCCACCCCCCACCCAAATTCTACTCCACCACCCCCCGCCCACCCACCTCATCAAACCTGGGGTTTGTTTTTGCACCCTTGAAATCGGGTCCTAATACTTTTTTGGCTCAAAAATTTGGGTCAAGAGATTTTTTTAAAGGGGGGCAAAAAGAAAAAGCCTTTTTAATGCGGTTCCCCGAGAAAGGCATTTTTTTTTTCCGACAACAGTGGTTTTGGAGGCCCCCAGTCATCACCGCGCAGGAAAACCCTTTCGAAAACCAAACCCTCGTCCCCATAAACCGTGACTACCCAACCCCAGCTTAATTTTTTCTGTTTAAACATTTTTCTTGTTTTAAAAGACTTTTGGTGTGTGGGCCCTTTTTCAGTAAAATTTCTGTTCACTTAGTGTATATGAAAGTCAAAGTCAATATGAATCGTCCACAGTCCCCAACTTTCCCCTTTTAATGACTAAAAGAAAATACTCCCCCCTTGAACCAATGGGGTTTGTTCTCAAAAGCTTGAAATCTGAGATTTTTAAAAGGTGCTGGGAAATGTGAAGTTCGGGTTTAATTCCTTTTGATCCGTAAAATTACTTTTTTAAACCCGTACCCGAGCGGTAAAGGCACTAGTAATATTTGCCCCTTTTCCTGCCCTGGACTCCCAGCCACAATATCATGCACGCAGGATAGTGCGACTACTATCCTTGCGATGGCGACTTGTTCAAGTATTCGTTCCTTCCCAGGGATGCTTTGAGAAGAACTTTACTTGCAACGAGTTATGCCATCTCTTGCTGATGCCACAAGCGTTGCAGAAAGACGTTCTGTGGCTAGTGTGCTCACTTGAGTGTTGTTGTTGTCCTTGTGTTTCAGATTGTGATCCCATCCTAGTTGACAGTAATCAGTGCATTGTAAGAAGTTATTTCTCGAGTAACTTCCATGTTGTTAACGTTTGTAAGTGAAGTTTATAGCTGATACCTCGTGTCACTGTGTGCGACTCAGATTGAATATCAGCATTGTTCACCGTGTTCATTTCTTTTCTCCTGTGCTTGCAGTTTGAGATAGTAGATTCGTTCTCCCTTGCTCATATTGCGTGTTATAGCGTTAATTTTTTTCAACCGGGGGGAGTCATCCACTCCACCGAGTTTGTTCATTCCTCCAGTAAGAAAGAACCGATCCCTTGTGTTCTGGTGATTCGATTCCTGCTCCAGGAAGATCTTATTCTTACTGTGAAGCCACCAGCACCCATCAGTGACTTTGTCATGAACCAAGAATTACTGTATCGAACAGCCGAGTTGGGTACTCCTAGCAGAAGAGTATACCAGTTAGTAATTCCACAGTCACTAGTGAATGTAGCCTTACAGCTAGTTCACGATGTACCAGGTGTTGCACACCCTGGTATGGATCGTTCAGTAAAACAAGCCAGATTGAAATACTTTTGGCCTCGTATGGCAACTGATATTTCTGAGTATGTTAA